TGTTAAAAATATTTACTGGGGGTCAAATACCGCAATTCTTTCTCAGACTGGACTCTCCCCATAGATATAAATTACTAAATGCATGTAGAGGGAATGTTAGAAAACATGCAGAAAGGGTTAAAGTTGATCCAGGCATTACTTACTCTCTTCAGGCACCTCCTGTGCATCAGCTGCTGCTTTGCTGAAGAGAACTTGCTGCTTAAAATGTCTGCCAAGCAACCGCAGTTACTGACATTAAGGGAAATGCAGCACCACTGAATGGTTTTCAATTTGACTGTTAGCAGCGTCTCACCTTCTCCTTTTTTATTCCTTGTTTCATTTATAAAAGCAGTATTACATATGGAGGGGTGGAATAAGGCAAAGAATACATAATGTAATTGTTTCCCATTAACAAAGAATGGTTAGTCCAATCCGTCTCCCTCTAAGTATCCTTCTATCAGCTAACAAATGGACATAGCCATTGGCAATGCAAGAAAAATCGATTTATTTGGAAGTAATATAAACTTATTATGAAAAATGCTCCTGGAACACTGTGAGTTTCCCCTGTTTATGTTGACAAAGTGACAAATTCTAATTACTTAGAATTATTGACCTAAAGCAAGGATTGCTGTCTGGCAGAACTGCACTGTGACAGAAAACGGCCTAGAACTGAACTTATTTGCAATTCCTTCACACTCTCTGTGGAGACTTACATCACTGTACTTTTTGGTGTAGAGTATCTTATACTGTTGCTGAGCAGCTATTCTAGCTGGTGAGCAGAGAGGTGTGCTAGATTTGGCTGGTTTAGGCAGGATGACATTTCCTCTCTCTGACCATTTGCTTACAGGAGGAGAGGCACAGAAAGAACCCCTGGCTCTTGTTATCTCTGTAAGTCATAATCTAAGCAGCAATAAGCATAGGAATAAAGGAAGTCTTTAACTTCTTCACACCCTGACATCATAAGTAAAGGTTATGACAATCTAACTGTAAGTACTTTGGATGAAAACAGCTCGGTGAGTACGCTATCTGCAAACAGCTCTCTGCATTTCTTTGATCTTCATCTCTGTAGGTGCTCTCTGCATTGCCATTTGCATGAGTTCCACCCCACCTCCCCACCCCCCCCCCCCCGCAACTTCTGCATGCAGCTAAGCTCTCAGAAGCTTTGCTGCAGTCTGAGTATTCCCTTTTGAGGTCCTGATTCATTTGATCCCATCAGTAGTCACAACCTTGCTTTTAAAGTTTTGATCAGAGAATGAGACAGCCATTTTGTCTCCTACAAGGGATCTGTAGTTTATCCAGAAGTTACAGCTGCTGGAAATACACATTATATATAATGTGTTTATGATTCAAAACAGTCTCACACTTCTAGACTTTTACAGATATTCTTAAGTTAAAAGGCTGACTAAACACTGTTAAAGCTCTAATTTTATTTTCTGTCCCCAGCTCTGTTTTTTGTTGTTGTTGTTGAAGCTGTTGAAATTCCACAGTTCAAGCAGGCCCAGTTGCTAAGCATATCCTCTTGGTTGTTTCATTTTCTTCCAGTATAGCTACTTTCTGATTTCACAAGAGTTGACTCACTTCTGACACAATGTTCCAAGATGAACACCCACACAGTGTAGCATTCAGACTTCTTTTCTCCACATATACTAGCACCCTCATCACCCGAAAGTAGAATCTCACTTCCTCTAGCTGACCAAATACGCGTCCAGTATATTGCTACAGAAAGCAATTATTACAATAGTCTATTGAAAAATTTACTATTTATAGTGTATTAATCATCAGTAAAGCTGTGTTAGTTTAACTGAAGATAGGGCGAAAGTTTGGTTTTAAAAATACCAGTTAATAATGTATTCCATCATGCTTTTTGATTAAGAACAGATTATGTTGAAATTTGTGAAGCTGTGTGTAGAAATACATTAGCTTGTTAGTCCAGTTACAAAGATAATATAAAGCCCTTTTAAAACACAAAAAAAAATCAGTTCAGTGTTTTATTTTGAAAATATTCATAAAGTCTTCTTCCATAGCTGATCAGCACTAACTAAAATCCCTGTCCTATACTAGAAGTAATTTTGTAAGGGGAGGGGAAGTACCAAATTAGATAGAGGGAAAGTGGGAAAGAACAACATTTAGCTGTATTTTCAGAAGTACCAGATGGTAAGTCATGGAAGTTGAAGCAATAAAATACCTAGAATATTCTAAGCAGTTCAAGACACCCAAAAAAAACCACAGACATTTCAGGAAAGGAGGAATTTATTTATGAGGAAACTGTAAAAGAAAGAAAAAGCTACCTAAGAAAAGGAACAAGACAAATAGTACACATAGACTGAAAGGACATAAATACAGGCACCTTCACTGATGTCTTGCTGTGAGCCAGAGTGAAAGAAAGACCTGACTACTATGCAAACTCTGATTACAAAACACAGTTAAATGCAACTCCATGGATTATCAACAGAAGAATGTATAGCAATACTGTGCAAACCAGCTAGGGAGAAGGCAAAGCACTAGCAGGATTATATATATTGTACTGTCTGAGGACATAAGTTTATTATACATATTGCATTGTCAGAAAAAAAAATTGGAAATTTTAACGTCTTTTCTATGTGCAGTTTCTATTATTCTACACAGCAAAACTAAGCTTCAGTTAGGTCACGATGCACAATTAGTTCTGCATTTGGTGAGAAAACCAAAATGTTCACATGCATCTGCAGATTCAATTTCTGTATTAGATAAATTACACTCAGTAGCATGTGAAAACACTCAACCAAGACTTTGGTTGCCATACTTCCTAGAAACTTAAAAACGTCCTTGAAAGCTATGTGAGAGCACAAAATAAACATAAAAGCCATATTCCATTTTTATTTTTAAGATTATTCAGTTCACTGATGTCTTTTACTCTATCATTAGGAAGTCTTTTGATTAAATAACTGGTCTGGCAGATCATGGATAATTTTGGCAATCCAAATTCAAATTAACAGACATGTAGGAAGATAGAAGATTTGATGTGATATGAAATCTTTGGTTGTACTCAAAATATGTAATGAGACATTTCTCCAAAGTCACTTTTGTTTATATGGTGCCACTATTCCACTATGAACAGTAGTCATGAACTTATTTAAACAGCATACTACCTCATGGCTTAAAATAATTTCTTAAATATTGCGTATTTTTCAATTTAAAGATAAGAAGCACACAATAGTACCTTGTTTAAACAAAAATAGCTGCAGGTGGTTATGATTAAGTTCAGACAGAAATTTGTACAACAATTTAACACTAAAAATAATGACTTTTATTTGTAGGTTAAAAATTCTCATTCTGGCCTGAAACGTTCAGTATGTTCATTGAACTTTTAATTTCACAAAACATATACTAGGACATTTGTACGAAAATATGAAGATCCTTTGAATTAATAAAGATTAACATAAAAAAGCATTCAGTTAACTTAAATTGAAAAAACGTTTCCCCTTAATTTGACCAAATCTCATTATATCAGCTAACCTTGATATCTTATGCTTTTCTGTCTTTTAAAAATGTTATGGAGAGTCTCACACTTTACCTAGTGCTCAGGAGGTCAGACAACATCAACAGTGAAGATTTATTAAGCACTCTGAATATCTATCTTCATTTTGTTGAGACATATCAGGCTGTTTATTTGATCCACATGTCGAACCATGGCATCATGATGAATTTAGCTTACTTCTGTCACTTTTCCCCTATGGCTGTACATACATATTCTGATATCATGTACAGTAAAATAACAGGATAGAAAAACTTCTCTACATAGAGATTAATATATTTTTTTTTTAAGAAATCTTTAAGAATAAGCCAAGAAGAGCAATGCCAATAGCCAGGAGCTCAAGCAGCTAGAGCCTGCCAGATTCAGAAAGCTCGTCATCAGGGCTGACCAGAGATGTCTCCCTTCCCACACCTGAGAGAAACTTGAGTAATTCTGGATGAAGTTGACTAAGCTCATCTTCTTGGTCCAACAACCAACACCACTGGATTGAAAGATGTAGGCAGCAGAGGCAAGAAGGAAGCAGGACACACCAAGGCATTAACAGCAACGACACAGAGACAGCCTTTCTGATTTCATTACAGGACAAGGTGGAAGATGCTCATGGAAGTTTAAAAAGTCTGAATCCAGAGTGATGTGGAACATTTCTGAAGTGAATTCTGCTTACATATAAGGTAGGATTCCTTCAGAAAACAAATAATGTAACTGTATTCTTTGTCTTTGTAGATTCAGTGTCCCTGTACATGCACACTAGAACTTTCCTATTACCACTTTTCAAAGCACTTAAATAAAGTGTCCTTGTCCATTAGGAGAAAGGGGAGATTCAACAGCTTAAATATAGTAGTAGCATAATAGAAAGGAGCATTTAGTGTTGTCTGTGCCTGAAAGGCAGTCGTTGTCATATAATACCACACATTCAGCACCTGAAACCTCTCTTTCAATAGTACTCTTGGATACTGGGAGACATGCATACACATATGGGACAAAAGAACACCACAAAAGCCAGAAACTAAACAAAATTAGGTCTTATTCAAATCTATGAATATATGATTAGCATATTTTCTCACTGATCTCATGGAAAATTGCACAGTCAACAATGCATTGTCAAATTGAGTGAAGTGCAATTTGTGATACTAATATCAGTGCAGGGGCATATATTTATGACTGAGTACGTTACAGATAATATGTATATCACATTGCAATGAATGTTAAAGAAAAAGAAATCACTTTTAATAATGCTGTATAAAATACACTCTGAAAAAAATCTCAATTACAAAAAAATTACCCCAAAACATGCTCCTATTAAATAATGTTATCTTTGTATGTGTAAGTCACCCATACATGTTTACTTAGGCTGCAGGTACAAGAATGGGGTATAACTAACAAAGATTTTAACACAACTACTGTTATACTCAGAAAGTGGTATTTGGAAGACTAACACAACACATAAGTAGAATGGAAGAATACTGATAATGAAATAGACACAAGAAAAAGAAAGTTTTCTACTCACATTTTTGCTCTTCCCACGTGCACTACAGGCATTCTTGCTCATGGTGACTGACTAAATCAGAAGTGTTTTGTAAGTTTCAAAGGAGAGGTTTTATTCCTTGACCATCTGAATGCCAGATGTAATGCTGAAAGAAAATTAATCTTGTTAGCATCAAGGTCTTTGCAAGTTGTACAACATCTAGGAATAAGCCACTGCTTCAAAGCATAAAAGTTGCAAATATTCTTAAGATCCATTAGAGCAGATGTTTTACGTACCAGTAACTCATAACACATACAGTTACCCTGAACCATACAACAAGTATGTCCATGAACAGTGCATGCTTTCCCATCAGTAACAATTACATGCCAACCCAAACAATTACAGAAGGTTACAGACTTCTGAGGCAGGGCTTTTTGCCACAGTTATTTAACTAGATATTGGCAGTATTGTTTGTAATAATGAAATAGGGCTTACTGGGTATTTTTATTTTCTCAGTTTCTCAGTCTGAAATGACCTGTTAAATTGCATACTATTCAGACTGGCAGACTGTATGCTGAATTTAAGGGAAGAAGGTAAACTAGAATAATTTTAAAATCCAGGTGCCGAAGGATGTTTAAACCAGCACTTGGGAATTTTTATATAGTTGTCAGAATCTCACAAATTGGTCTTTGTATTATAGCAATACAAAGCAAATAATACTAAACAAAATACTAATAAAATAATACTAAGCAAAAGCTTTAGCAATTGATGATGGCGTGGCATAGCAACTTTGAAAATCAGCATTCATCAGCCTCTGGGTAAGTGCACAGCAGTAATCACGGAAGAGTAGAGTTAAAGGGAAATTCATATTCTACAGGATCAAACAGCTGAAAGATTTAAGTTCTCATTTGAGCCAGTTACATCTCTGCACACATTTTTTTCCTTAGCTCTATCAGCCAAAGATGAGGTGAAGTGCAATTTCTGACCAACAGAGCTGCTCTGGTAAGATTTCCTAATACAGTATCAATCATACCATCAAGATTAAAGGTAAGGTGTATTTCCCTCATGGGCAGACACATCACTGATGCAGCTTGTATGGGTACAAGAAATATTTTCCACAGTTAGGTATCACCCACACTAGTATTGTTTTGGTAGCATAACATACTGTTTTAAAATGATAAAGTTTTTGAGAATCTCCAAAGCCCACCTCTGCCAAACAGAAAATGAACTCTTAGATCTCACACAGTTTCACAGTATGCTAGAGGTTGGAAGGGACCTCAAAAGATCATCTAGTTCAATCCCACTGCCGGAGCAGGAACACCTAGATAATGTTACACAGGAATGTGTCCAGGCGGGTTTTGAATGTCTCCAGGGAAGGAGACTCCACAACCTCCCTGGGCAGCCTGTTCCAGTGCTCTGTCACCCTCACTGCACTGAGAAGAAGTTTCTTCTCAAGTTTAAGTGGAACCTCTTGTGTTCCAGTTTGTACCCATTACCCCTTGTCCTATCATTGTTTGCCACTGAGTAGAGCCAGGCTCCATCCTCGTGACACTCCCCCTTTATATATTTATATACACTAATAAGGTCACCCCTCAGTCTCCTCTCTCTAAACTATAGAGACACAGCTCCCTCAGTCTTTCCTCATAAGGGAGATGCTCCATTCCCTTAATCATCTTCGTTGCCCTGCGCTGGACTCTCTCCAGAAGGTCCCTGTCCTTCTTGAACTGAGGGGCCCAGAACTGGACACAATATTCCAGATGCGGTCTCACCAGGGCAGAGTAGAGGGGAAGGAGGACCTCTCTCGACCTACTAACCACCCCCATTCTAATACACCCCAGGATGCCATTGGCCTTCTTGGCCACAAGTGCACAGTGTTGGCTCATGGTCATCCTGTCGTCCACTAGGACCCCCAGGTCCCTCTCCCCTACACTGCTCTCTAACAGGTTGCTCCCCAGCCTACACTGGAACCTGGGGTTGTTCCTGCCCAGATGCAGGACTCTACACTTTCCCTTGTTATATTTCATCAAGTTATTCCCTGCCCAACTCTCCAGCCTGTCCAGGTCTCGCTGGATGGCAGCACAGCCTTCTGGCGTGTCAGCCACTCCTCCCAGCTTCGTGTCATCAGCAAACTTGCTGATAGTACACTCAATTCCCTCATCTAAATCATTGATGAATATATTAAATAATACTGGTCCCAGTACCGACCCTTGAGGCACTCCACTAGTTACAGGCCTCCAACTAGACTCTGCCCCATAGACTACAACTCTCTGGCTTCTCTCCTTCAGCCAGTTCGCAGTCCACCTCACTACCTGATCATCCAGCCCACACTTCCTCAATTTAGCTGTGAGGATGCTGTGGGAGACCGTGTCAAATGCTTTGCTGAAGTCAAGGTAGACCACATCCACCGCTCTGCCATCATCCATCCACTGTGTTATTTCCTCATAAAAGGCTAAGAGATTGGTCAAGCATGATTTCCCTTTGGTGAAGCCATGTTGACTGCCCCTCATAACCCTCTTATCCTTGATATGCCTTAAGATGGCACCAAGGATAAGGTGTTCCATCACTTTCCCAGGGATGGAGGTGAGGCTGACTGGTTTATAGTTACCCGGGTCCTCCTTCTTGCCCTTTTTGAAGACTGGAGTGACATTTGCTTTCCTCCAGTCCTCAGGCACCTCTCCCGTTTCCCAAGACTTGGTAAAGATGATGGAGAGTGGTCTAGCAATGACTTCTGCCAGTTCCCTCAGCACCCGCGGGTGCATCCCATCAGGACCCATGGATTTATGGATGTCCGGATTGCTCAACTGGTCTCTAACCCATTCCTCATCAACTAAGGCAAACCGCTCCGTTGACCTGACTTCATCTAAGGTCTCAGGGGTACAGGGCTCTTCAGGACTGCCTGCAGCAGAGTAGACAGAGACAAAGAAGGCATTCAGTAACTCTGCCATCTCTGTATCTTCTGTCACCAGGGCACCCATCCCGTTCATCAGTGGGCCTACATTGCCTCTGGCGTTAGTTTTGTCTGCCATGTATTTGAAAAAGCTCTTTTTGCAGTCCTTGACCCTTCTCGCCAGGTTTAATTCTAAGGAGGCCTTAGTCATCCTAGGTGCCTTCCTACATCCTCTAGCAGCAGCCTTATATTCCTCCCAAGTGGCCAGCCCCTCCTTCCATGACCTGTAAACTCTCCTCTTCCACTTGTGCATACCCAGCAATTCCCTATTTAGCCATGTAGGTCTCCTGGCCCTCTTCCTTGACTTCCTACGTGTCGGGATGCTCCGATCTTGAGCTCGGAAAAAGCAATCCTTGAATGCCAACCAACTATCTTGGGCCCCTTTACCTTCAAACAGCCTTGCCCATGGGATTTCCCCTAGCAATTGCTTGAAAAGGACAAAGTTTGCCCTGCTATAGTCCAGGGTTGCAATTCTACTTGGTATTCTACTAGTCCTACCACACAAGATCCTGAACTCCACCATCTCGTGGTCGCTGCAACCAAGGCAGCCCTCAACCCTTACTGCTTCGACCAGATCCTCCTTGTTAGTGAGGATGAGATCCAGCAGCGCTCCTCTCCTGGTCGGCTCATCCACCATTTGCAGGAGGAAGTTATCATCCATACACTGGAGGAACCTCCTGGACTGTGGCTGGGTTGCCGAGTGGTCCTTCCAGCAAACATCAGGGAAGTTAAAATCCCCCACGACGACCACAGCCTGTGACTGTGAGGCCGCTCTCAGGTGCCTGTAGAAGGCCTCGTCAACTTCCTCACCCTGATCTGGTGGCCTGTAACAGACACCCACGACAGTATCACCCCTGCCAGCCTGCCCGTAATTCTCACCCACAGACTCTCAACTCGCTTGTCATCTGTCCCTGGACAGAACTCGGTGCATTGTAGTTGCTCCCGCACATAAAGAGCAACCCCACCACCCCTCCTGGCTGGCCTGCCTGTCCTGAAAAGGACATAGCCCTCCATGACTATATTCCAGTCATGTGAGCTGTCCCACCACATCTCTGTAACTGCCACCAGATCATAGTCTCCTGACTTAACACAGGTTTCTAACTCCTCCTGCTTATTTCCCATGCTGCGTGCATCGGTGTACAGACATTCCAGGGAGCGAGCTGAGCACACCAATTTCGCCCTAGGATTACAGGAGGCCTCCCAGTCTTCATCAGTTCTGGAGTGCTGCCCCACTGGGGCAAGCCCAGCTACAACCCCATCCCCCTTCGAATCTAGTTTAAAGCTCTCCAAATGAGCCCTGCTAATTCGTGCCCCAGCATCCTTTTGCCTCTGTGAGATAAACCTTTCCCACTTGTCATTGTCCAGATTGGTGTCCTATAAAACCAGTTGTTATCAAAGAATCCAAAGCCCTGCCTGTAGCACCAGTCTCGAAGCCAATTGTTTATGAACTGAATCTTCCCATTCCTTCCCACATCATCAGTGGAAGATGGAAGGAGTGAGGAGAAGATCACTTGAGCCCCAGACTCTTTCACCATCTGCCCCAAGGCCCTGTAGTCTTTCTTCATCCCCCTCAGACTGCGGGAAGCAGCTTCCCCCTCACCTGTCTGGAAGATCAGCAGCGGGTAGTAGTCTGTCGGGTGCACCAGGTTGGGGAGCTCCCTAGTGATATCCCTGATCCGGGCTCCAGGCAGACTACACACTTCCCTATGATGAGGGTCAACTCTGCATATCAGGCCCTCTGTTCCTCTCAGAAGGGAATCGCCTACTACAATGACCCTTCCTTCTTTCTTATCAGAGGCAGTCTTGAGGTGCAAAGTCGACCGCCTTTTCTTATGTGGCCTTGCAGGCTGGCCTTGCAGGCTGGCCTTGCACCACATTCTCACCTACCTCTCCTTCAAGATCCAGGGCCTCGAACCTATTACGGAGGGACACCTGGGGAAGCAGGGCAGGAAGGGAGGAGGGTTTCCCACGATGCCAAACTGGAACTCGCTTCCAGCCCTCGTCGTCTTTTTGGTCCCCTACCTCTGTGTAACAGCTACAAGGCAGGGGCTGTCTCGGGCCATCCCCCTCTGTCTGAGAGGGCAGGGGATCCTTCCCCTTTTGGGGGGTATCTCCCTGGAACTGTTATCTCAGTATGATACTAAGAGCAAATTATATTCAAAGATAGAGAAATGTGTATATGTAGTTTCCTGCCTCCACTGGACAATATCATGACCTGG